ATGATATTCTCTGTTTTTTATGTATGATTGGTGTTCTTTGAGTCTTTTGTGTAATGGTCTTGAGGTTTCTCCTATATAAAATTTATTGCAATCGCAAGGAATTTTATAAATTACATTTTTTGTATTTTCAATTATATCATGAGGTTTTGTTACTGAAATTTTACTTCTAATTGTAGTCCTAATATTAAATTTTTTACCTACTCGTTTAATTTGATCTGAAAGTCCTGGAATAAATGAAATGAAAAGGTTCGTAATAGATTTATTTTGATTTTGTTTTGTTTGTGGGAATTCAATTTCGTTAAAACATTTTTCAATAAAAGAATTTGGAGAATTACTGAAATTTATAATTTCTTTTATAAATTGTTTTTCTTTGGAAAAATTAGATATTTTACGAATTATTTTTACTCTATCATATAGACTTTTTACGATACTTTTTTTAACCATTATCGGGTGATTTAAGGCGAAATTCAAATATCGGTTGGTATTAGTAGGTTTTCTATAGACCATCAGGTACACAAGAATTGCCCGCCTACCCCTGTGACGTCAAACGTAACCAGCAAGAAACTGACAACGTCGGTACGGTGTAACCTCAATCCCATAGTGCTCAATCCTTTAAATATAAATATCAAATATTTAATATTCAAAGGTGTATTTTATGAGTCTTCAGACCTCAGTCCACCCTGTTTGTTCGTCTAAATCCATCCAGAATTTGCGCCGAGAAAATGAGAAAATTGCTGGAAATTAAGCACTACCGCTGCTTGTTGCTGGCGCTGATCTGCTTCTGCTTGGGCTGCTTTCTCTCGCTCAGTCTGGTCTCAATGGAGAAGCCCTGTGTGCTTGAGACGGAAGATCACGAGTTCAACATAATGCAGAACAGCAAGCTGAAGAACCCGGAGCTGATTATTCTGGTGCTCTCTGCCTACAAGAATCTGGAGCGACGAAACGCCGCCCGGCACAGCTGGATGCAAGTGGGCCGAAAAGCCGTGACTGGGAACAGCTACAATTTCAAGCCCTACTTTGTGATTGGCAGCTTGGGGTTGACTAACGACGATATTCTGCATCTGAGCTCTGAACAGTCTCGGTTTGCGGATATTCTGATCCTGCCCATACACGATCGCTACGAGAAGTTAGCGGAAAAGGTTCTGAGAATGTTCCAGTGGCTGAGCGAGCAGCTCAAGTACGGCTTGGACTTCAAGTATGCGCTAAAGTGCGACGACGACACCTTTGTTAACGTGCCAGCTCTGCTCAGCGCTGTGCAGCAGATGGAAAAGACTCTGGAGACGTCCAGCTTCCAGACCCCGCCGGAAAAATTCAACAGTTTCATCACTACAAATGTGCAGTGCAATGATCAATCCTCAGGCCTGCACCTGGCAAACATGAGCTGGTATTGGGGCTATTTTAATGGAAACGCCCATGTGAAAGCCGGAGGCAAGTGGAAGGAAAGCGAGTGGATTGCTTGCGATAAATACGTGCCGTATGCGCTTGGCGGGGGCTATATTCTATCCAAACCTTTGGTCAGCTACATAGCGAACAATGCTGCGAACTTAAGGTACTGAGTTTTTCAAATCGAAGCCCTTTAGGTGCTAAAACGGGGGGTTTCAGGCTGTTTAAGGCCGAGGATGTCAGCGTAGGCCTGTGGCTTGCCCCCATTACGAACATCATCAGAATCCACGACGTTCGAATGGACAGCGAATGGACAACGCGCGGCTGCAAAGACCACTATTTGCTCACGCACAAGATCACGCCTTCTGATATGCGCTTGATGGCCGGAAATTTCCGGGCAACGAGCAAACTATGCACCAAACAGAGCGAGGTTCGACGCCACTACTTCTACGATTGGTCAATTCCTCCTAGTCGCTGTTGCAAACCTGTCTGAAGACATCGAGAGGGTTTTTTCTTTGGTTTTGTGCTGTTTTCAACATTCGCTAAGGGGTCAAGAGAGGCCCAAGCCAACCATCCGATTGGAGGAAGGTGCAGAGTTTCAGCAAGGCTATTTGGAGATTAAATGCTCACTCAAAAGACACATTCTTGGTTTATTCGGTTGCATCACTGACAAACATTAAACGATAAATTATATAATTACACCCTGGTTGGGTTAGTCTTTTTTTAAGGCTATCGCATGCCTTGGTCCCGCTACAACCGAGCAGTTTTTGTGCAAAACTGACCAACCCAACAAACCTACAAAACTAGCAACTGGAAAATTTCCACAGAAAACACTCCCTAAGCTAAATAAACAGGGTTTCATCCTTGGGATCCCAGGCATGTTTCCTCGGCTGCTTCAGTGATCGCATGCTCTTGGGCGGCGTGTTTTCGCACTGGACTTTAATGCGCTTCTCCTTAAAGACCGGGATTCGGCTCATAGTTTTCCTGGGCTTATCGCTGACTTTCAGTTTCTGGACCGCGCCATTGCCATTCCTCACGCCCAAAGGCGCCCTGATTTGATTGCGGGGCTTCACAGCCCGCGGCCACACGATCGGGTCTTCATCTTCATAGATCAGGTTGGTGAGCTTTTTCTGGAATTCCAGCACTTCGGCCGACAGGCTTCGAACAGGCGATGTGGAGTGGGCTTTGGGCGTTTTAGGCGTGAGACTGACGATGTGTGGAGGAGAAGCTGGCGCTGATTTTGATACGAGTTCTGTTAACGGCGGGCTACTGGATTGAGCTTCTACTGAAGACGGGGAGAGCTTCGGGTCTTCCTCCTCCAGCTCCAAGCTGTCTAAGCTTGTTGGTTCTGAAGCTGGTTCTTCTGTGGTTGCCACTGGCTCTTCCAGCTCTGAGTTGCTTTCAACACTCACATCCAGTCGGTCCTCAACAGGGGCGGCTTCATTTTGTATTGCGTCGTGCGGCTCTGGGACTGCGCCTGAAAAGCTATGGTTTGATGGGGATCTTGGACTTTCGCATTTGGAATACACACTCAAGCATTTCTCCCTGATGACAACATCCAAGTCGGTCTCAGTGTAATCCACATTAGTTTCCAGGAGAATCAGCGACTTCCGCTTGTAGCTGTCCACTTTCAGCTTAGGCGTCACTGTGCAGCTGGACAAAAGCTTTGGGGGCACGTGTTTGGCGAAGCACTCTGAGGCTGGGACCGGTGAGTTTAGCAAGTCGCGGATTTTCACCTTTTCCAGGTTTTTATTGCGGATTTCTTCAGGGAATTGTTCGTTCTTCGACGCACTTACTACTATGGGCGTTCTTTGGACTTCCACACTGGGCGAGCGGGGGTCCACTGGTAGAATCACATGCCGCCTTAGTGGGGTTTCTGCGGCCGCTGTCCTTGTCTCTATTGTTAGAGTTCCAAGCTTCTCAACCACAGCATTCAGGAGCTGGTGGAAAATTGCTCTCAGCATGCGGAAAGCTAGTTTTAGTAGGCACTTACTTCTACAGGCGTTCGCGCAAAGCGCTTGCTGGGCGATCTGGGGTCTAAGTTGGGCTGGTTCAGGCTCTCTCTGGAGCTTCTTGGGGTGCTAACCGCCTCCGAAGACAGTTTCTCGGCCTCCACGCCTGCCCCTTGATCTTCTGCGTCTTCGCACTCTTGCTTGCTGGCAACAGCACCCATGGCGAACGCACGTTGAGTTAAAGGCTTGCAATGTACAGCGTAGCGGAAAAAATGCGATTTTTTTTTGGAATCTTTGAACTGACAAACGATCAAAACAACTGAAAACCGTTGACGATTGTGGATAACTGCTGCCAGAAGGAAGAGTCCAAATATCCCTATATCGAAACTGTGCTACCAACGTAAATCTGGCGATGCTCTCCCTTACGCTCATAGCGTTGTAAGGGGCAACCGATCGAGATCGCGTCCATTAGTGTGGAGGGGATTGAGCAGCTGTTCCTACTATTTGGCAGAAACATGTAAATAGTAGAAACATAACCTGTGAATAAATGCCATCAAAACTCGTTTAAAAGTGGACTTTATCCATTAATTACGTTATTTCCTCGGTAATACCATTACGTGGCGGTCGTGGAAGGAGAGTCCAAGTGAAGTTGTTGATGATCTGTCCCCGTTTATTTTGGAAATAGTGTAAAATGAGTAAATTGTCTGTAGCAAGTGGTTCGAAGGGAAATCAGCCCCCCAGTAGCGCCAAAGCCCATCTACAGCATGGGTATTTGGTTGTGTATAATGCGGTTCAAACGATAGGGTAAGAGTTGTTGCATTCACCCCCATTTCTTTTCTGCAGCATAGTCAGCGAAACATTCGCTTTTTGCGCCTAAATCGTTTGCACCTTTGATTCAGACGACTCTAAAGCGACTGAACTTTGCAGCTGGAGCCTGATTTTCTATCAACTAATCTCATTTTACTTGGGCAACGGCAATAAAACCCTGTACGATACAGTGAGATGCGCTCTCAACGTTTTCCAGAACGCAGCTATTCTGGAGGTAATTCATGCAGCTACAGGAATGATCCGATCCAGCGCTGTTATGACTGCATTTCAAGTAAATATATCGCGTTTTTAAACAAATCGGAGATGGATTTTGACTAGAATGGCTACTGTTTTAGGTAGCTTCACGAGTGGCAGTGGTGTGCGGCGTCTTGCTAGCAACAAACAGCGCCAGAACTGGACTTGGCCTCCCTTTAGCCCTGATTGCTTGGTCAGTGACCGAGATTATTCGCTACTCGAATTACACGTTTAACTTGGTCAGCACTGTGCCTTATTTCCTTAAGTACTTGAGGTAAGTTTGAGGATTTTAGCTTGAAACATGCCTCCTATAAATTTGTCGTTTTGTGACCAGACGGAGATTGAAGCGATTAATTATTCTACGTATTTACTCACCTCTGGCTCCAACGTCGGTAATTTGCTTAAGGCTATTATATGGAAATTTGCAAAAAACCCACAGTCAGCGTCATTAAATTGTTAATTGATCGGCCTTTGGATGGGAAAATGGATATTTTCGTTTGGTCCCTAATAAGCAAACCTAATTTTTTCCAGGTACACCACTTTTATCGTGCTGTATCCAATCGGGGTAACCGGGGAATTGCTTTGCATTTGGGCGGCTCAGAAGGAAGTGGGAGATGGCCGATTATACACGATTGATATGCCCAACAAGTACAACTTCATCTTCAACTATCAGCTTCTGCTATGGTTCATGATGCTGCTGTACATTCCATGTAAGTGGCCGTTTAATACACGAAATGTTGGTTTTATTTGGGCTTTCTTAGTGTTCCCGCAACTGTACATGTACATGTTCGGACAGAGGAGAAAGGCTTTGAGCCCGCCGAAGGAGAAATCCACATAAGACAAGGTTACTGCAAGTGAACGCTCCGGACTTCGAATAGAATGTTGACAATGTTGATTTTTTTGATCACCCTGTACCTTCTCAAACTGCGGCTTTTTTATTAGAAAAGCTTTACGACTGCAGTTGGCGATTGGTGAGAATCCGGTGGATTTTCCTGCAATGCCGACTCCTGGACTCATCCAGTGCAGCTTGCAGCTCATTGGCCAGATGCATCAAATTGGTGGGATCCGTTTGCAGCAGGGTGTGGGTAATGTTGGGGTCCGCCCCACTTTGCTCCGTTCTGAGGGCCAAATCCATCGTAACCAACGGCGTGACCTGCTGTGGCAGCGCCCTTGAAGCCACCTGGGCGTGGAAAACTCAGAACTAATTCGCGTCTCAACTTGGGCACTCACTTGCACTTCGAATCGCCACTGCAGGTCGTGGTAATGAGGCTCCACCAGCCCTGTGCGCTGCACCTGAAGCACCTCGGCTTGTCTTTCCTTGTAGAACTCGCTCAGAACTGCCTGCAGCTGCTCAGTGAAGCCCAGAGTGAGCACTGAATCTCTGAAGTCTGCGTCACTTAGCTGAAAAGCCGTTGTTCAATCCAGGGCTCTGTTGTGGTCTGCGGCATCGCCTACCTGGTGTTTGCAGGCGATCAGCAGCAAATTGACCAGACCGTAGACGCAGTTTTGGATGTCGTCAACCGGCAGGTTGAGTTTGGAGGCTGCGGTCTTGTAGAGCTTTGCATTGGGGCCTTTTTCCATATAGGCCAAAGCCAGTTTGCAAAAATCGCTCACCACTATGCCAAAAGGTGACTTTGGGGTGATTTTTCAGACTGTAAACGCTCCTACCTGACTCGGGTTGCGTTAGCAGCAGCTTGAGGTGCTCTTTGTGGTCGCCTCGCAAGGAAATCAACATTTTCCTTGCAGTATTAATTGCCTGTCAAAGTTTCGAGGTTAGTTGCCAAACAAACCCTCGTCAGTGTACTTATCCGACAGCCCCTATAGACCGAAGCACAGATCACAGAGGTTATTACTCTGTAATCTGTGGACACAACTGGGAAGAAAACGAGCGTAATTATGTAAAACGTCATTGGAATGCTGTGACCGGCGTTGCCAATAACTATTAAAGCGGTAGAATTGAAATGAATAAAACCCGAAAAGAGTCATTTTTCTTAAAAGGTTTTCCAGCGTATTTTTGCCAAAAAAGATGCCGTTTAAACAAGATTTCTACAACTAATTTATCTAAAATTAAATTTTAAAACGAATGAGATCTACCGAAAAAAACGCCAACGTGGCAAGACCGGCTGTGACTCAACCACTGTGACGTCAAATGTCATGTGTGTGACACTTTCAAAGGTCCAATTTCGCTCTCTACAGCCTACAAGCTGTGGTCTACAGCTTTCGCGTGCTGTTTGGCGTTACCTACCTGCGGGGTGCAATAAAATTCGTAGTTTTCAAGTGCCACACATCCAGCGATGAAAATCTGGAACTACGAACACACTTTCAAGTGAGTGGGAAAACCTAAAAGTTGTAAAAGAGCCCCTTAATATTGGCTTTGAATTGCAGCCACCCTTGGGAAACTGTAGCCACAGCCGCTTGGAGGAAGTACCCGAACCCCCATAATACTGCGGTTATTGGTACTGATGTTGTGGAGCGAAAGGTTGTTGATGGGGTGCTGCATACTCAGCGCTTAGTCAGCTCTATATGGTACTTCCCTAAATGGGCCCAAGCAGTAAGTTCTGCTCTCGAAAGCCCCCAGTGTCTGTGTGAATGTCTAGATCAGAAAAAGCGTCGCTCAGGTACCCAAATTCGTCATTTGGCAAAGACAGTTTTAATGCGCAGATATTTAGGTTTTTTTTTGAAAATTAGGCTCAAAGGGAATTGCGTTTTTCTCTCACGCAATTTACCGAGTTCAAGCAGCGTTTCGTTGCCACGGGTTCAAAGGTTGCCTCCTGTTATCTCTGAACAAAGCCAGTGGTTTGGTTATGCAAAAACTACCTGAATTTACTTGGATTAAGTCCAAAACTCCGTTTTTCCTCTCTAATCAGCTCGACCTTTATGCAATAAGCCATTAAAATACTACTTGCGTTTCCTGCATGTATCTTCAGATAAGGTTTTTGTCTGTCTGCGCCACTATACAGGGTGTTTGATGTGTGGAAGGGTTCTTTGACTGGATTTTGTAAAAAACAATAAAAATTGTTTTACAAATTTATGTTAAATTTGTCTAAGAAAAGGACTGCGGGCTTTTTTTCGGCTTCCAACAAAAAACTAATTTATGTCCCCGATATATATTTCCCCGTGTTTGCATAATCGATAGCCGCTTTATTCTACGTAGATTCGACTGATTGGAATCTGAATATTTTATAATCCAGCCGCTTTAGAGTACATTGATTATTAACCAACTCGTGCGTTTTCTGGCTTCATTTGTAGAAACCCAGAAACAATCAAAATCACGCCTCAGCTGCTGACCGCCAAATAATTCGCACGCACTTGGCACCCATTCATCATTAGTTTTAACCGATTTTTTCAAGTGCACTGAGAATATGTGGAGGTCATTATCGCCTAGACTTTGACCACTGGTTTTTTTGCAGCTCATTGGATCAGCAAAGATCTGCTACGCTGCTGAGCACTCAGAAGTAGACCCCAACGCCAGACACATGGTTCTGAAGACCATCAACTTGACCTTCTGCAGACACATTGCAGTGAATGAGACTTTGAAATATCTTCCACATCCGGCCGATTCCCGAAAAACGCTCTTGAAGCAGGAAGCGGTTGTAACAGTCCAAGGCAAGTGACTAGTGCGAGTCGACGCCGAAAGGGTTTTAAACCTTGTTTAAATAGGAGTTCCCCTCACTAACTACATGGAGGATATTATCACGACGAAAATCTCTTCCAATGCCAGTAAAGGCAGGCAGGCGATGGAATGGGTGATACACAAGATCAATGAAGAAGTGCAGGATTTATCCAGAAGCACTGATGAAATCCTGCACAGTACCAAGAAGTCTTTGGACGATCTCACTAGTAGCGCGAAGAAATCGATGGATGACATCTCACACAAGGCCAAGAAGAGTTTCGATGAAATCCAACACATGAAAATCAACAGCAACTTCTCAGAGTGTTAACTCCTCAAACCTCAATTGGAAAAAGCTCCAGCGAGACGCGCGTGATTTTTGTTTAGAATAAAATGCACTTTTCTAAGTGTGGGCGTTGTTCTTCGGGCGAGTGACCAGTCAAAGGCTGATCTTTTTCGAAAATTGTCTATTTATTTGTACATTCCCATTAAGGTATTAAGGGCCGACGTCTTATTTTTAGCCTGTAGTTTGTCGATTCTCTCATTGTAACCGTACCAATGTGGGTTGTTGTACAGTAATACCCTTGAAATGATTCAGAAGAAATACAGTTGTGTTCTTGAAACTGATTTGCCTTTTTTTATACCAACAATGGGGTCGAAAACTGCTGAAATTTGAGGAGTGCGAAATTATTTCAATGGGCGCATCCACCATAATGTCACACATCTCCGGCTTAAAGGGGGTTTCTCCTTGGAGAACTGTGCACTATTACGAATATCAACTGGAATCATTGCCATCGCCCAACAATGAGTTGGAAAATTCAGACTGTTGACGCAAAGACGAGAAAATTGGAAATGCACGCAACGCACATTCGCCTTACAGTCCAGGACATTACTGTTTTTTGTTTCTCGATAAAATGCTGCAAGAGCGGAACACTTAGGGCTACAAACGATTCACCTTTATCAACCAAAAAGGAAAAGCGCCAAGCTAGGCAAATGCGTAAAATTTTAAAAATTCAGGGCACGTCTTATTTTTAGCCTGTAGTTTGTCGATTCTCTCATTGTAACATTACCAATGTGGGTTGTTGTACAGCAATACCCTTCAAATGATTCAAAAGGAAATACAGTTGTCTTCTTGAAACTGACTTGCCTTTTCTTATACCAACAATGAGGTCGAAAACTGCTGAAATTTGAGGAGTGCGAAATAATTTCAATGGGCGCATCCACCATGATATCACATATCTCGGGCTTAAAGGGGGTTTCTCCTTGGAAAACTGTGCACTATTTCGAATATCAACTGGAATCATTGCCATCGCCCAACAATGAGCTGGAAAATTCAGACTGTTGAGGCAAAGACGAGAAAATTGGAAGCGCACGCAAAAGCGCATTCGCCTTACAGTCCAGGACATTACTGTTTTTTGTTTGTCGATAAAATGCTGCAAGAGCGGAACACTTAGGGCTACAAACGATTCACCTTTATCAACAAACAATGAAAAACGCCAAGGTAGACAAATGCGTAAAATTTTAAAAAATTCAGGGCACGTCTTATTTTTAGCCTGTAGTTTGTTGATTCTCTCATTGTAACCGTACCAATGTGGGTTGTTGTACAGCAATACCCTTGAAATGATTCAGAAGAAATACAGTTTTGTTCTTGAAACTGATTTGCCTTTTTTTATACCAACAATGAGGTCGAAAACTGCTGAAACTTGACGAGTGCGAAATACTTTCAGTCGGCGCATCCACCATGATGTCCCATATCTCGGGCTTAAAGGGGGTTTCTCCTTGGAAAACTGTACACTATTACGAATATCAACTGGAATCAATGCCATCGCCCAACAATGCGCAGGAAAATTCAGACTATTGAGGCAAAGACGAGAAAATTGGAAAGGCACGCAAAAGCGCATTCGCCTTACAGTCCAGGACATGACTGTTTTTTGTTTGTCGATAAAATGCTGCAAGAGCGGAATACTTAGGGCTACAAACGATTCACCTTTATCAACAAAAAATGAAAAGCGCCAAACTAGACAAATGGGTAAAATTTAAAAAAATTCAAGGCACATTCACAATTGTTTTCACAGCATCAGGGACATTTTTTCCAAAATTCAACCCAAGGACTGTTTGAACCCGAAACGAAGCACAAGCAACGAAAAGGGCCAAACAATTACCAAAAATCGTCTTTATTGATGGCTGATAATCTGGCGAATGCGGACGTTTATGATAGAAGTATTCATCATCTTTCGGCTAGTTTGATAGAGTGCCACTAGGGGGCCCGATCAATTTTATTCCGGATTTTTGCAAGATTAAAAAAGTTATTAATAAAACTTAAATAGTGATTTTCAATTTCCAAGAATGAAGGAATTAGCTAATAAAAAAAATGAAAAACTAAAAAATTTGCTTCATTTGCATGTTGCCTCCTGTGAGGATTGAACTCACGACCCCTGGTTTACAAGACCAGTGCTCTGCCACTGAGCTAAAGAGGCTCATGATTCAAACTTCTTGAGTCTAGTAAATTAACCTGCAACCGAAATGTCGAATTTTTGGCAAATTTTTGGTCTAATCGAAATTTTTATTTAAGTCTATTACTAACCTGAAGCTCCACGCGATGCTCTCAATCAGTCACGAACACCCAATCATCTAAATTTGTAATTTTTTCGAAAAATTCCACTTGTCACTGTGACATTTTCCAAAATTGGCGAACCATAAGGCTGGTTACACACAACGTCTTAACAATACCTTGGGCGTGGTTGGACTGATTCATTTATTTGTATTTTTTGAAAATTAATATAACCATTAAGGGGACGACTATGCATGAGTTGTTTACAAAAGAATAAACGCATGTCTAATGGGAATGAGATTGATAAGACTTGTTTCCGATAAACGATACAAGAAACATCGCACTGGACGGTGAGTGCGCTGCCCCGTGTTGCCGCGCCGTTCACCAATAAATCCTTTGGCCAAATTGAATTTCCATCTCGTGTAATTTTTCGTGAACTTCAACGCCTGGGTCTTCGACCTTCAAAGTTCCGCGTTGTGTCACAGAGGCAAAATATTACAGTTTTATTAACAGTGTCAATCGACTGAGTTTTTTGGGAAACTAGTATTTTTTGTCAGTCTGGCACCGCGGCAGCTAGAATGCAACAATCAGTGTGAGTCACAGGCGCGCTCCTTCAGTCCGGTGCAAGCTTTAGTCATAGGAGGTTGTTGCGCGCCCTCTGCGAAAGACGCGCGTACTCTCAAAAAGTGACACACACCGGCAAATATTTTCGCAAAATTCCGTTTTTTTCACGGCATTTGCTGTTTGTTTTTGTTGCGACCGTCAGCTGTTTGTTGTGCTGTGTTGTTGGGTGTTTTTCTACTATTTTCTGTTGTGTTTTGTCCTCGTTCTTTGGCGTGCGATGTGACTGAATTTTTTTGTTTTGTCCCGTATTGTTGTTTTGTCCGCCCGCGCTGTCCAGGAGGCGATCCAGCGATGTCCAGACGCAAGCAGAGCAATCCGAAGCCTTTAAAAAGTGAGTGTCTTTTCTGTGCTTTTTTTCAACTTGTTCCTGCCTGTTGCCATGCTTTAATAACTGCCTATCGAAATCCGGTTTCGCCTAATTGAAGACGATTATCTTCTTTATGGAGGGGAAATTTAGAAAAAATCAACTTTTGAGAGGAGATTTGCCTGCGGCCGGTTCTCCTACAGGCCTGGCACTCCCTGATACTGATAGAAAACACGTTTTATCAGCGCAATGATAAGTGTCGTTGAATAACTTCAAATAAGCTGAGCAACAAACAACTAATCACTATCACTAACTATCGGCCTGATATACCAATAATCTGCCTTATCGTCGCTCGGGTCGGGTCGGGTCGCAATTCAACCAATCAGTTGGAATTTATCAACTTGGTTGATATTGATAAGGGCGCGCTGATCGGCCGGTTCGAACCGTGACAGCGGAGCCAATTTTGAAGAAAATCCTCCAGGTCTTCCAGGTCTTCACCGGAAGAGTTTGAAGCGGACTCAGCCCAAAAATCAGGTCGCCAGCTGCAGCCGCTGCAGCGCTGGGGACTCTGGAACAAGTTCCGATACCAAAATTTTTCGGGATTTTGCGTTTTTTTACGCGAAAAAATCCATCCTCCTAGTGCCAGTTGGTATTACCGAGAAGCTGTACAACTAAACACCAAAATCCACTTAGGTACATAAAGTTTCGGGCTAATTGAGTTTTTGAAAAAATCTCCATGGCCTCCTGGCCCAAGAATTCTGATAAAATTTGCCTGGGTTCAACTATCCACCTTTGGCTATACTCACACCAAAACTCAATTCTGCAGCTGTCTCCAATGCAGCGCTGGAGGCTCTGGAACAAGTGACTGCACTTTGAAACGGAGTTATCAACTAAATGAATGTAAAAAATTCTCTATCGTTCCCTTTAATTGCTTTCTGAGCGAAAATTTGCTCTCTTCAAGTGCTCAAATTTGACTACACTGGAGCAAACAATCAACCTTCCATCTGCTGCCATTTCTGAGCTACAGCCTCTGGAACAAGTGGCTGTTTTAACTATAGACTGTGAATGAGCTTAACCTAAACCTCTAGTTGTTTGTTTACTGTTTCAAATCTTCCCAAACATTTTTGAAACTTATGAAATGATATACTCTGAGCCAATATGTGTGGAAAATCAAACTTCAGTCTGATCCAAGTGCCATGTTGCAGGCTCTGAGTCCTTGAGGGCGCTTTGGAGTCCACATTTAGTCATTTTCAGGTGCAAATTCCCAATTTTTTTACTGATTCAAGTTAGTTAATAAGCGCGTTTATAGTACAAAACTAGGAAAATTATCAAATTCTACAAAATCCCATGCCTATAAGCGCTGAAAGCAGTGAGTGTCTTATCTTTGGGGCACTTAAATATCAAACTTTCACTCGCTCTAGAGCCACTTCCGGATAGATAACACACAGAAACAGTGGGCCTGTTTTGCGATAACGAATGGGGAATCAGGCAGTCGAAAAATCCAGTTTCTCGGTGCTCTCAATCATTTCTGAGCAGCTCTGGACCGAGCTATAGTGCTTCGCTCAGTGCATCAAGTCAATAATCGGGAAATTATCAAAACGGCTCCAGCAATCGCGCTCTAACTCAGAGGTCTTTTAGTTGCACGTTTCAGCTAAACTGATGYCRAATTTCATAACTGTAGCTGTGTTGGGGGCGAAGTTATGGGCTCTGGAACAAGCAACCGCGCTCAATAATCTAATGCTTTYTTGGTTCCTAGACGCATTTTTAAAGCGAAAAATCGCCAGCAATTGACCAAAACTTGTACCAAAGTGATYTTTTGAGCAATTGTAGAGCCATATTTGCTCTATACAAGGACATCAAAAGGAACGTTTTAGATAGTATGCTCTTAGAGTGAGAATCTTTTGAAAGCGAGATTGTCGAATCTCGTACGAATTAAATTAAGGTTAAGAACTTTCAATTTTGAAAAATCGGCAAAAATTGAGAAAAAGGTGCAGCAAACTGATATTACCAGGGCTTATAAAGCCACATTTCCTCTTTCAAAAGACGTACAGAGAAACTTTCCAGCTGCTCTCCTCTTTGAGTGAGAATTTTTAAAACAAAAACCTGTCGAATCCGATAGGTGCCAAATCGATGTTTCAACATGC